CCTGCCATGAGTCAAAGCACCGCGGGCGATTGTTTTGCAAGAAGCTAGCATACTATCGTACTGCTCACGCTGGACGACAGACAGCGTAGGCCCATTGACTGCCCAAGCCCCGAACCTTCTCCTGCTCAGCATGCAACTTCCGGATTTCGGCCTCGCGCCAGAGGGAGTGCAGACTTCCAGCCTAGCACGTCCTAACACGACTTCTGCTGCGGACCTGCATTTCCTCCAATCTCTGCTCATGGGCCTCCGACATCGTCTTCATGGCCTTCGCCGGCGAAGGCGCCCCATCACCACTCCTTGACTCCACGACCTCCCACCTCTTCTTTCAGCTCCAAGGCCATGGCAAGTTTCGCCTGCATGGCAGTCCCACATGGTCACGCTCCCTCTCATCACTCCCGGGAAGTCGCGCCTCAGCCTGCTGACGACGGCCGTGCTCCAACTCTGCGCGGCCACGCTCCACCTGCCATGAGTCAGAGCACCGCGGGCACCGCAGGTTGCAAGAAGTGCTCCGCCGTCCTCGAGCATACTCTCGTACTGGACCCGCTGCTCCTGCCAAGGGACGACAGACAGCGCAGGCCTACTGATACGCTGCCCGCGTCTGCCCAGCCTGCAAGGTCTGCTCATGTGCTTGCATCGCTGCCTGCTTTTTATGGTTTCTTGGGAGGCGCCCGGAAACCCGCGCACTGACGGCACTGCGACAAACAATTGCCCGAAAAAAACAGGACATATCAGGACATGCTGCACCGCGCTGCCTCCTGTGTAGCTTCTTGGATTTCTTTGTGCTCCTTCACACAGTGGCAGTTCACAGGAGCGTGACACGTCGCGGCACTGCTTTCATGAACGCATGGGGGAGGAGATGGTACAAGTAGGTGACGGGAGACTGTACCAGATGATGCGAGTGGCAACTGCTGGACCTTGCCATGAACAGCTTGTTAGTTTCCACTTCTTTTGCGGATCCTTTGGGATTTGTTCCCGAACGAAGCCACCCTAGATCAAGATCTAGGACCTAGGACATCGACTGTGGTGGCCAACCGCATCTAGAATCCATACTCAGTGCTATCCTGCTATTGCGGTTGCAGTCTGGAGTGCCTGCACAGCACAGAGTAAAGAAAAGGTCTGGAGAGGAAGCGTGTCCTGAAGCATCTGCGCACATGTCTCTCGCTGCTCCTCCAGGGGGTCAGTTGACATGAGTGGCCCGCGCATTCTGTGGATGCTTCTTTCGGCACAGTGTCAGCCTGCATACCTATGTACTCGGTGCGACCACGTGTTCAGCTCAACATGCGGGCGGCTATATGCGGCTACTTTTGGTTGCTTACGCTGATGTGGGGCGTGTGCCTCTTCCTTCGCATTCTCGGCCATGGCCAGGTTCGCCTGCGTTGCGGTCATGATCCTCTCATGCCGGCCTGCAGAGAACGCGATCCCGGAAGTCGCGCCTCGGCCTCCTCTGCGCGGCGACGCTCCGCCTGCCATGAGTCAAAGCACCGCGGGCGATTGTTTTGCAAGAAGCTAGCATACTATCGTACTGCTCACGCTGGACGACAGACAGCGTAGGCCCATTGACTGCCCAAGCCCCGAACCTTCTCCTGCTCAGCATGCAACTTCCGGATTTCGGCCTCGCGCCACAGGGAGTGCAGACTTACAGCCTAGCACATCCTAAAACGACTTCTGCTGCGGACCTGCATTTCCTCCAATTTCTGCTCGTGGGCCTCCGAAATCGTCATCACGATTGCGAGCGCCTTCGCCGGCGAAGACGCCCCATCACCACTCCTTGACTCCACGACCTCCCACCTCGTCTTTCAGCTCCAAGGCCATGGCAAGTTTAGCCTGCATGGCAGTCACACGTGGTCACGCTCCCTCACCTGGCTCCCGGAAGTCGCGCCTCAGCCTGCTGACGACGGCCGTGTTCCAACTCTGCGCGGCCACGCTCCACCTGCCATGAGTCAAAGCACCGAAGGCACCGAAGTTGCAAGAACCTGCTCCGCCGTCCTCGAGCATACTCTCGTACTGGACCCGCTGCTCCTGCCAGAGGGACGACAGACAGCGCAGGCCTTCTGATACGCTGCCCGCGTCTGCCCCAGCCTGCAAGGTCTGCTCATGTGCTTGCATCGCTGCCTGCTTGAAATGGTTTCTTGGGAGGCACCCGGAAACCCACGCGTACTGACGGCACTGCGACAAACAATTGCCCGAGGAAAACAAACAGGACATATCAGGACATGCTGC